CCCCCCCCCCCACCACAGAAGGGACAAGAGCGCAGGACGCGGGCTGGGAGAGGGGAACTGTTTATGAAATTAAACATACACCTTCAGCCACACAGGAGCACGGTACGAGGGGGGGGGAAGCTGCCCGGCCCCCCAAGGAGTCCCAGCTGGAGGGGGGCCCCCGCCCAGGGGCCTGCAGGGGACGTGGCAAGAAGGGGCAACCTGCGCCGGGGGCACCACGTCCCATGCCAGCCCAGCAGCTGTCTCTTGCCCCTGGACCCCCGGCAAAGGAAGGGACAGCAGTGGCTCCCCCCTTTCCTGTGCCCCACTGGAACCCCAGGGCCGTCCCTGTCCCGTGGGAGGCAGGTGGCGCTGCAGGGTACCGGGGCGATGAGCACTCGCAGCAGGGCAGGGAGGGGGCTGGCTCCTGTCCATGGGGTCCCAGCAGAGACTGGTAGAAAACCAGGCGCTGCAATGGGTTAAAAACCTAATAAATACCTTGGGGGAGGGGGGGGGGGGTGGGACGCAGGGCCCTGCCCATCACCCAGTGCCCTGGCCCCGGGACATCCCCTCCCCCACACGCCAGTGGAGCAGGGTGGAGGCTGGCCGGCAGGCCCGGCTCCGGGCAGTCTCTACGGGAGGCAGAAGTCGGTGAAGTAGGAATGCTGCAGCGCCTCCTCGGCCGAGATCCGCTGCACCGGATTGCACTTCAGCAGGTTCTGTGGAGGTAGGAGAGGGGCTGGGTGAGGAGGGGGCGGGGGAGCAGGGCAATGGGGCTAGGCGCCCCCTACCCCTGGAGCTGCAGGGGAGGGTCAGAAGCCCATTCCCCACCCTGGGGAGGGGGCTGTCTGGGGTAGCCCCACAGGGGCCTGGCCCCCGTGGCAGAGGGCGAAGAGAGGCAGAGAAGCCACCTGGCTGCCCAGCACAGCCCAGGCAGAACAGCTGCTGCCCCCACCCACGGGGAACACAGAGGGGGGCTGTCAGCGGTACGTACGTGAAGGGCCTGGGCCAAGGTGCCCCAAAACCGTCATGGTCAGTCACAGGACCCCAGCAGTCCCCCAGGGACAGGCCTGCCCCTTCCTGGGGCCAGCCACCCCCACTGCGTGCTATGGGGCTGGGCCCACAGCGCCTGCTCAGCCCGGGGCAGCAGGGCACTCACCTGGAGCAGGTCCCGACCTGTGGCATTGAGTTTGGGCACCACATTGAGCAGGGACGTTGTTGCAGGGTACATGGGGTACGGCTGAGGGGAGAGAGGGAGACAGCTAGGACACCCCCCAGCACAAAACCCCCCCCCCCGGGAGAGGCCCACCCCCCCCCCCCCTGCCCCACAACCCCCGCCCCAGCCCCCCCCCCCCCCCGGAGACAGGCCAAGCCCCACCTCCCCCCGGAGACTGGCCAACCTGCCCCCACCTGCCCACTAACCTCGACCCAGCACTCAT